GCATACAGCTTTTCCGTTCGATTGGCTGTAGTATGAATTGATGAGCCGGTGAAGTAAATCCCATTTCTCACTGAAAGCCAGGAATTATGAGCTAGCGAACTGCGGTCCGTTATCCGAGATCACTTCTTCAGGTATTCTATGTCTAGCGAATTGTCACCACAACTTGTTCACAATGGACTGCGCACTGGTTATGATTTGCGCATCAATCGCAAAATAGTCACTAAAGTAGTCCATCACAATTAAATAATTTTTTCCTTCATAGGTAAAGATATCCAGAGCGACCTTTTGCCAAGCTCTTTCAGGTACTTCGTGAAGCGTCATAGATTCCTTCGGCTGGCACACATCATGTGTTCTGCAGGTTAAGCAGTTTGATACGTAATCACCAATTTGCCTGGTCATTCCTGACCGAAACATCAGCTTTGCGCTCTTGCCACACAGTTGTTGGTTCTAAAGTGCACACAGTGGATAACCTCCAGCATGGGGCGCTCCAATGCCTTCGGGACAAGGACTCGATTTCTTTTGAAGATCAGCTCTTCCTGAGTGACGAGTTCGTGTGGAAATGAAAAAAAGGCGTTAGTTCCTTTAGTAAATCTGTTCAATATCGTTTGTTACAGAAGCTTGCATACCGCATCCCCTTTTGTGCACCGTCGCAGTTGCTACAGACGTTTCTCAGGGATAGCAATCAGTTGTGTCACATGAACCAAATCTGAGTATTCTTGCATTCCTGTTGCATCCGGAATGTATCCTCTCGATACCGTGTCCGCGTTGTGCATTTTGGATGCCGGCTGATAAATAATAACAAGATCGTACTTCTGGAGGCGAATAAGTATCCGCTATAGACGGCGTAGAACGACATGGACCGGATTGCTGGCGATGGATACCAGTGGCTTGTGGTCTGTGAAAACGGTGGGTTTGCGGCCGATGTATAGTCGTAGAAGCGTTTCACAGCGCCAGCATCTTTTACAAGTTGGGCGTAATGACGCTCTGCCTTCATCAGTGTACGGCTGCGAAAATCAATGTGCTTACCGTTTTGGATGAGAACGGCTCCGATGCCATACAGACTACTATCACAATGAATCTCGTGGAAAAGAGATGGATAAAAGTAGACGAGGACGGATGCATCGGTTATCAACTTCTTAATTTTCTGGAATGCCCTTTTTTGTTCATCACCCCAATGCCAAGTTTCACCTTTATGGGTCAACTTTCGGATTGGTATCATCAGATCAGCCAATCGTGGTAAGAAACGGCTCAGATAGTTGACCATCCCGTTCAGCCTGCTAACAGCCTTCGCGTCCGTTGGGGGAGGCATTTCGTTTATGATGCTGACTGTACCCGGATCCGGTTCCAATCGTTTAGTACTCGACACGTCCATGAAATACCACATCAGTGTTGAGTATTTCGACCTTCTCGTACCTGGGTAAGTCCGGCTTCTCAGCTTTGCCCAAACCTCTGAGGCACGTAAAAGAAGTGCACATCAGGTGACGATAATTTGTTGAAATATTTATACAAACAAGCTAATAGAAATCATATATTACAGATTTGGAAGTGGCATATGCATAGTATCGTTCAAAAAATTATGGGACATTACTTATGAGTGGAAGGATTTTGGTGAGTATTTTTGTTCGTCGCAATCAGCCGACAATTCAGATATGTCGACCAGCTATCCGGAAAAGCACCAGACGGCCGTTTCGCCCTATTGGGGCTCATCAGTGGTGCGAATCCTTCGGTCCTCTGCGGAGGATCGAATCCATGACTGCTAGTGGCTCTTGCCAACTAGCCCGCAGCTTAGGCAACTGCGCCATGGAGGATGGTATCCGACCATCACGAATTGTTAGCTGATTGCGATGAACAAAAATACTCACCAAAATCCTTCCACTCATAAGCAATACCAATTCGCCCGTACGGATTCCACAAAATGCTATGTCGATTCATAGCTGCCGTAACCGGGAAGTCCTGACGCCGGAAGGCCAACCGCTGTCATCCGCATGGCAGGTGCCTGCATGGCAGTGGAGGATGGGTCGGGCTATATCGCATTTAGCTAACAATTCGTGATAGTCAGATACCGTCCTCCATGGCGCAGTTGCATAAGCCGCGGGCTAGTTGGCAAGAGCCACTAGCAGTCATGGGTTCGATCCTCCGCAGAGGACCGAAGAATGCGCACCACTGATGAGCCCCAATAGGGCGAAACGGCCGTCTGGTGCATTTCCGGATAGCTGGTCGACATATCTGAAATGTCGGCTGATTATGGGACATGTTTGTCCCTATATACACCAAGGCCAAGTTAGCAGTTACTTGCTATGGTAATCTGCAAAACAGTTTCTTTCAGATGCGTAACACAAATGAACATCCCAACCAGTACACAAATTATTAGGTCTGTTTTCAATTTCCTTTTGTGCACAGTAAAAACATCTTCCGGGCATCTCTGATTTTTCCATAACTTGTTCTGGCTTGCAAGGGTTGGTTGCTATTTGTGACCACCTTTGTGTCTAGATATTTGTTGGAATGCTTCTCTGTCTGTAGGAGAAATCAGATATCAGTGAACATGCGCGCTGCACGAAATTCAATCCGCTTAAATGTAGTGGCATAAAAGTCATACATTTCAATGATCTTCAGATGGATTGTAAATGAATTTTTTTTACAGAAATGCCAACCAAATCAAAGAAGATGCGAAGGTAATATTTTATTCTGGCTCTCCTTTCAACTTCATAGGTCACTTTTGTCTGGCTCATAAGATCAACACCACTCATATGTTGATTATATTTCTGAATCACCAAAGGACAGCGAACAACTAGTTTGTCAGCTGATCCTGCTACTCGTCTCATCATGGAAATCGTAAGAATTGGCGATATGAAGCTGATCAACATCAGAACACTTCTATTGTCCATCCATTTCACACATGCTATGCCACTACTGGAAGCAGCAGAAATGTCCCCACTTTTCATGTGTTTATCAATGGGCAAACAGGTCGGAATATTTCTCCGATTCACACGAACTGTTTCACAAGCCCGTATGTCCCTTTGTGCAAGGATTTACCACAGATACGGAGAGTTGAAGAAATTAGCAAAAAAAAACACTTGGCAGCCATTTTCTGGATAGTGAATCAGTAAAGTGCAAGACTACAGACTCTCCCAAATTATGCTCCACATGCTGTCCTTTCTTGCCAAGATTTGGTCCAAACTGATATAAATACCTAGTACGAGAATCACATCTGCATCAGATTTTGAAGTTCCATTTTGTTGATTTGCCTTTCACATACTGCCGCATAATATTATGACCTATGAATTTGATCATATGTTCTTCTATGGACTGTTCCTCACTTATACTGAGCATGCCCTGAAAAGCTGCATTGAAATGAACAATAAGTGTGCGCACTTTCCATGCTCGATCATTAGCATCACGCCAACCATTGTTGTCAACAAAATGCACAGCTGCTCGAACGAACTCGAATCGCTGCAAATGTATGACTTGGGCGATATATGTCACTGCCATGTCGGGTTCTGTGGACCGGTAGGACCGTAACTTTGGCAGAACATGGCAGAACATGGTCAGATTCATACCAATAAATGCCTTCACCGCTGCAGATTCAATGAAGAAAGGGTTTACTTTCTGTTGCATATACCGGATACTTTCTGGACCCAGTATTTCATAAACAAGATTGTTAAATTGGCAAGCTGCTTCATATATCTGCAAGGGCGTTGGTATTGCATTCAAAGTTTGTGAATCTGAGATTTTGTCCATGTTAATTTGTCCAAAAGTCTGTGGTTTCTTATCATTTCTGAACAGAAAATGTCTATAGGGCTAGCGCCATGTGAATGTTACAGGTTAACGTTTTTCGGGTGCGGAAACCCTAAAAGAAGGTGGAGAGCAGTTAGGTGTTTCTGGGATTTCAACAGCTAACCTCATCCGCTTTGGACGGTAATAGGAAGGATCTGGAACAGCATGTTCCAGGGAAGTGACTGAGGAAGCAGTGTCACTTCCCAAATTTCGGCCATTCAGTGGTGGTTCAATAATTACGTCTGTTCCAATCTCGTCAGAATTACATTCCAAAAGTTCCTGATATTCTGTGTCAAATACCAAGTTAGTGACACCCCCGCTGTCACCTACATCCAAATATTGAATAATTTCGTTATCATCAATGTGCAAATATCGCGCCATATAGAAATCTGAAGTAGAACGAGTGAATAAAGCATGAATATCTAATCAATCTTGTCCTACATAAACCCACACTTGCAGCACACTGGGACAAATGTGTCCCTTCACGATTATCATGCCATGTTAAATCCATTTACATATATTTTGAAACATTACATCAACTTTTAACATCTGCACAAAAGAATTCATAAATCCGACCGAAAAAATCATAAGTACAACTTAAAATCAAAGAACTCCGTTGGAATGACTGGCACCACATGACGAAACGCAAGCACATTCCGATCATTATAAAATGATGGTTTGAAGCGTGCAGACAATACAACTGACTGTTCCCGGTGTCCTATGACCTGTTGAGCTTGTGTCAAATCATTTTCCCATCATTCTGTGTGTGTAAATAAAATACGGGCGCGCATTTTAATGTGTGGGACAGATTTGCCCCGTATGCCTTAAAGGGTTAAGCAACTAGCTATTACCACATATAGAGTAAAGAATAAAATCAGGTGTGAGCTTTGAGATCATTCGGTTTGTCCATGCCTTCTGGTCAAGCACAAGTATGCAACAAATGACAGAAATACAAAAGACTGGGTTGTGTGAGATCAATACATGGCCAGTCAGTGCGCTTCGCAGCACCGTGGTAGGTGTAATAAAGTCAGCTGTTTCCGTACACAAACGAACAGCGGCTATCGCTCTATATGTGTCGAAAGAAAAATGCTTTGCAATGGAGGTGAAATTGCGATATCAGCTCGAATGAAACCGTTAAGAAACGACGGTGTATGATAGACACTTTTATATCACCGCGGATCACTGTTGCTGGATTTCGACAAAACGGGAGAGTGGAAGTGATACTTCTAAAGACTAACCTTGTTGCGGTAAAAAACGCAGATGTGATTTATGCCACATGTGGACGAGGGTCCACCAAGGCGCGATACTATCTGGTCCTCCGTTAGGCCAGGGATGCGGCAGTTTCCAAGAACGAGGTAGTATTGTGCCATACACAATGGCTTACCATCTGGGAGAAATTCAGTGGCCAGTGCGGAAGATTCCAGCTTATTCTGTAATGCAGATGAATGATACAGAAGTGACTGATAAGAATGGGGGTGCAAAAGAACGAGAACGAAACGTAAGTGATGGTTTGCCACAGTTGAAAGATATCGAACTCAGTGGGCACACAAACAGACAAACTGAAAAGGCAACCAATACAGTCAGTGACATGTGTGCGCACTAAACGGAAATCTGTATGTAACGGTACCATACGCTTATACAGTTATTTGCCGTGCAAAGTAGAGCAAAACATTCTGTTTCCAGTAAAGAGCAATGGCGATCAAGAAAGTTTGAAACAGGGTATCCACGGATGAAACGAACGTTCTCATCCATTTAATAGGGGCATTTAACAAGTCAGATAAATCGACGATCAGGCATTTGTATGATCTCTCATTCCGAGAGGCGATGCGCACGCCGTGACTGAGTGATCCAAGCGTCTGGCTTGTTATCCAAGGATCGCCGGTTCGCACATGCGTAGGTACGGGTGACTTCACCGCATCCATTGACACGCGCGCGACCGGTAGTAGCCACATAGAAGCCAAGCGTCGGTACGACGTACCGGCGTACTGCTGATGCTTGGCTTTAAGGGAATACCCGATAACAGTGTCTGGAATTACGGGATAGGAGAACTTATGCATTACTGTACACATGGTGAATACTGTACGTCAATCGGGCATCCGCGACTCAGTCACTGTGCTATCGATCAATCGGTTGTGTCTGGATTTCAAGTTGGGAATCCCGAATAGTAAGCGCTCAGTTGAACCTTCTGTTGTTTTTACCAGTGTGTTATCGCTGTTCACTCTGTGAAGAGACTTCATGGAACCATCACTGTTACTACAGTGGTTCACATTGATACACAGAGGAGTCCTTTCTGTCCGTGACCAACAAATACAGTTAATGGATACATCCGAATTCAACGTTCACTGCTTTACGAATAAATTACAGCATAGTATTTGGTACATTTGTACCAGATGAGCAGTCCACATACGCGGGCTAAAAGTTACTCTGTTGCAGAACGCAGGCCAAAATGAAAACAATATTTGTTATTTCAATTACGGACAGCTCCACGTAGGTGGTCCGATAACCAGAATGCATAACAATAAAGTGGAACAAAAATTAAAAGTATGATACGATAATAATTCAACCTTTGCAGAAGTTAGTTCTGCCTCATTTTTATGCTGTTCCGGTTGAATTCGTTCTCTGGTAGCCGAAATCAAGTCAACACCTAGGGGAGGAAGTACGTCGCGATGAACCAAATCCGTCCAGTCAAAAGTACTCAAAAAATTACGCCCTACCTGCCCCCGAAAATGCTGTATGGATTCAAGACTAGTAGCAAGGGAAGCCTTGACACAGTCATCTGCATTGGCACTAATATGCATGGCAATGAAGGATGGGTCAGATGAGTGCTCATTTTCAACGTCTTTCGACTTCTGTTTTCAGTCCAGCGTTAGGGCTTTTAGGTCGGCACGTTCGCGATTCATATAAGGCCACAACGGATTTTAAATCACGATGGTCGGCTATTGTCCCCCATGACTGTGGCATGAGCTTCCAGCTAGTGATGCAAGCCACTAGTTGCCATAGGCTCGATCCCCGGAAGAGGGTCGAAGGAATGCGCACCGCTGGTGAATACAAATAAGGCGGAACGATCGTATGGTGGTTTGTCGGGTCTTTATGGCTTGTAAGCCAATTGCGATGGACTAAATAAACCTTACCAAAGCTGTCAACAAAAATTTATGGATCGATCTAAGAATATTCGCTAGTATGACTACGGGTTGTGTGCCAAGATGGGACGGATTCATCTACCAAAACATGCCTCACCAAGTTAATATGAATAAACAAGAGTGAACCAAAAGTAGAAAGCTAAGCAAACGTGAACAAGGGATATACGTAAAACGCCTAATGGAATAGCCAGAAGCAGACAAGTAAAGCTTCAGCATAACAGTGCCGTTAACTTGGTGTTTAAAGATTCGTCAACATTGTAATCACGAACTTATTAGACCCGACGGTCTCCCAAGAGAAGGAATGTATCAACTTGATCAGGCCTTCAGGCAATTTTCGTCTTGACTATAAGTCATATTCTAGGAAGTTTAATTCGGGCCAGTGGCCTTAAGGATCATAAACCTGCTTTGTAATCCGAGGACGCAGGTGCGAGCAGACGTATGGGACTAGGTGAGCCTCGCAGTATTCTTAGTACACGTGCGACTGATGGTGGTTGTGCGGTAGCGAATGGTCGCTACTGCGTACCACCGTACTGCTGATGCTTTTTGCAGTTCAGTTAAACAATTTCGGTAAACAGCATGAGCAGTAGTAGTCACTGGGGGTGAATGAAGAATGTGACGTAGGTGGAACAATCGAAGATTCATTAAAGTGAAGCAGCAGAATGAAAGGGATTCAATCATAGCAAGTATGTGGTTGAAATGCAGCTGTACGTCGTAGCGTCAGTTTCAAAATGGGGTAGTGTCAGTGCACTGGGAGGCATAAGAGATTGGTTGTCCCTGATTGCCGGTGTTTGTGGAGTGTTGCTATCTGGGAGAAGTGAAACATACGCAATATCGACAGGTACCATGTTTCTAATGCTGCATTTGGTTGATTAGTAAACCAATAACAACTAAGGTATGTTATTCGGATGTTAGTCGAACGACCGCCTCGGCGTATAACACTTGCTATTAAAACATCTGATTAAATGGGATTCGGAAATGACAGCAGATAAGACAAGAAAAGGGCACAAAGAGACCAGAATAAAAGCTTAGTGATCCAAAGCAAGATGGGGATCCGGTATCAAGCACATCCTTAGTTAGGAATAGGATCAGAGATGTCGCCGTGTGAAAGTAGGTTGTGCAGCTGAAATTGCTCTTTTGCTTCTGGCTGCTGATCTGCTCGTTCAAACATAAAATTGCTCTGTTTGTCATTTCCGAAACGAAAACTTGTAAATGAATGCGGGAAAACTAGTAACAATAGTCTGTAGGAATAAGTAAATATGAGGTCAGAGATTCGGGATGTGAAAAGAACGAAGTTTAAATGGGGGAAAGTGTCGCGAAAGTGAAATGAACCATGTAAAAATGCTCAGTGGTGTTCACATTCGCTCGGTACCGCATAACGTGATGCAGTACAACCGTTGTTTAGTGTGTTGGTAGCAGGTGCAAACGGATAAAAAATTACATTTAAAATCCTGCTACTCACGAGTAATATAAAAAAATAACCTATCCCGTGACCGGGATGTGTCTACGGATTTTCAAGTAAATTGCCGCACATTACGCGGCCTGAGAAAACCCCGAGAAATTCTAACGGCAGTCTGGAGATCCAATCGCATCTCACAAGATGCATTACGCACAAAAGCGCGGCGTCTGCCTACCCCAAGTTGCATGGCGCTTCACGCGATGAGGCGCAGATTAGGGATACTTGAACGACCGATACATTCTGGTCAATGGTTGAGGACAGAATGTTTCGCGGAAAACTGGGTGACTGTGGGCTCTGTATTGACCGATGTGTAGCCGTAGCACTGAAGCCATCGTTAGGTACAGGGTCTACTGTGGTAAAAAGAATGGACATCGCGTTGTCGGACGAACGTACACGTGGTGCACAACTGCTGCTATTTCATCGCAGCTATGTTCCCATTAAAGTAGACTGACGTACACATGAGTGATAAGTTTTCGATGTGCCCGTAGTTGTATCAAAGGTAAAAACACAATTATGGTGGGCACGCCGGTAGACGGAAAAGTAGCTTCCAAAGAAGTAGTGTAGGAAAAAAGCAACACTTTCAACTAGACCTTTCAAATTAGGCATAATAACGACTTGGGAGAGGAGTATTTGCTCGCTTTTAGTATTTTGCTTTCCTCTTAAGTGAGCCAAGTTCTATGTGGAATTTCTCTTTCCTAAATAACCTACGATACTTAAAGATTACCCGGTTGTTTCAGTTAAGTTTAGTGCAGTTGATAAATCATGATCCGGCCACCGTGGATGCAGTTACCACGACTCGCGTCCCCAGAGCGGTAATAAAAAGCGGTTAGACTTAAACATGGTATTAGCAGAATGGAAGCAAAAACGAGGTGCATGAAGCTAATCGCATTGAAGTATGAACAGCTAGACGCAAGAGAACGAATCCAGGGGAAGCAATGACTCCGACAATGCGCCACATCCGATAGAGACAAACCATCGGTTTGGACTAGCACAAGGCCCCCATGCACAAAGACGACACGTACCTGCTTGACCAAGTCTCTCGGCTAATTCCTTCATACCCCTACGCCACGTCATCGTGGTTTCGCCCAACGGTACCGTGATGGCGTATAGTGCTCACTGAAGTAGGCGGTTAACGTATACGGAGTACATGACCTAAACAACGTTAAATATTCAACTACAACAGGCACTGAAGTGAAGCACCGGAGAGTTCCTTGCAAACAGTCAACTGACAGACCTCAGCATTGCTAACCCTGTGTTCCCACCAGATGCGAGCAATACTGCGTGAGACCCGGTGAGCAAAGATGTCCAACCGTTTGATGTCGTCTTCCGTACGAACTGGTCAAGTCTCAGATGCATACAGTAGCATCGGCCTTTTCGCAGTTGTTCTCAGAAGTATAGATTTTTCAAACACTGAAACAGCATCCACGAACGCAATATGAATCCAGATTTAAGAGGGTCTTAGCGCCAGGCGATCTGCCACCTTTTGTTACCCCAACGCAGGAACCCAACCATATCACGTTTAGCGCGGAAGCTGTCCTGCAAAAGCTTACGTCTCTGCTCAACCACAGCCAACTTTCTCTTACAACGGCAGCTGGTGGTTAGAGTTGGAAACTCGTTATCAGACCCCATACATGTTGAATGTGGTATGCTTCAGGGATCTATACAAGGGCAATTGTTTTGGGTATTTGTCAACGACCTGGCACAGACGATGGGTACAAGTTTCTAATGTTTGCTGACGACATCAAGATATAGCGCAAGATACTGTCGAGGACCGATCCGGATATGCTGCAGCATGACTTGGACATGGTATAGCAGTAGCCAAACGAAAAGTTGC